TTTCATTGTTTTCCTTAATTTTTTATCTCTTATCTATTTTAATACATTCTCACCTATTGGCTATGCAGCTAAGATTAATTTCCCACTTACGATTATAAGTGTCGTGTATGGGAGAAAAAACTGACAAAGGTTATCATTTGAAATAGAAACAGTTTACATTACGCAATTCAATGTAAAATAAACAATAACCCACCAGTGGTAATATACAGTTTCAATTGTCATTTTCATAACATTTGTGATAATATATTTAAAGAACTAATTCTTCTAAAATATTTTGAACCTCTATACGTAGATTCTACACGTACAACAGCATTTCACATCTACAACACGCAGACAATTTCAGTTCTCTGCTCGCTGTTCACTTGTTTGATATTTTGATTTTAACATTGGCGTGGCTTCCATAGTTTGCGTACACGTGAATGTAATTTTGTTTTTTGTTTTTGTAATAAATATCAAATTTTGGGGAAACATTTAAATCGCATCTTTGATTCTAGATGACTAAAATGTATTTCTGCCAAATGAGCAATCTCACCAGTGGGCTGTTTTTGACATGCATTGGTTCATTTCCTTCCTCATTCCACGGGTGAGGCCGGGGTGCCGGAAACAGTCTTCTCGGACGGCACATACTCCTGAAGCCGGCGGCTTTGTGGTCTCTGGCCAGAAGGGGAATTCTACTTATGTTCATTCGCTCCAGATAACTATACCAGTTCCTTTCAGTGTCAACAATACTCTTCTCAAGGTTAAATATCTAGAACCCTTTGCGAATTTCTTCCCTACTAATTTTCTCGCCTAGAGTACTCTCTTTTACAGCTCGAAGAAATCTTATTCCTGCGGCTCTCACTCTCTCTTTTTGGGAGGGTACAGGTCTTGCTTCCATGTAACAATATTAGTACTGACATCGTCTTATAGAACTTAAGTCAGGGTTTCTTCCTTGTTTAATGTGCTTCTGTGAATTGTCCCACTGATATGTTTAAACATGTTTATTTTGTTTCTGACATTATCGTCAGATACAGTACATATTTCCCACTCCAAGTATTTAAAACTGAAAACTTGCTTTACAGTCGTCAGTGGTTGATCATATTAGTATACTAGTATTAATATGTATCCAAAGTTTTTGAATCCTTTCCTTTTTGTAATACGTATGTGTGATACCTTCTCCTGTCCCACCAAGTCAGAAAGGCAGTGTGAGGTTAATTAATAATACTCCTTCGTCGCCATGTCTTCTCACTATCGTGCGTCTCACGGGGCTGCAAATGGGCGAATGCTCGCAAGATCGGTTGATTAGCGAATGCATTGAGTGCCGTCGATAAACTGGTTGTCTCTTTCATGAGATGGCATTTTTGGAGGTTTTGGGCGTAGAAGGAAGGCCTTAGTACGTTGGAATAGTGGCTAGTGCCTTTGGGTAGTATGTTGTGGTGCATTTGTTACGGGGATGTGTGAAAGTGGTTTAGTTCTGCTTTGTGGTAGGAGGTCGATTCAAATGACATCACGCTGCAACGGTCTCCCTAGATTTTACCAAAACGTTTGACTGCATTTGCTATTCTGTACTTCTCTACAAACTTTTTCATTTAGGTGTATCCCAATATCTATATAATGTACTCCATCATTTCTTAACTGATAAAACATTCTCAGTTCAAATAGGAAATACTCAGTGCATCCTATCCTATAGAACCTGCTGTATTACAAGGAAGCGTTCTAGCTCCAATTATATTTAACCTGTACTATCTCTCTCCCTCTCTAACATGTTCCCAAATTCCTGATATCATAAATTACCATCAACGCTAATTATACTTTCTTATTCCCTTCTTTTCAAGACATCGAAATCTGTACTCTAAAACACCACCGTTGGGTACTATAAACCTTAAACGCCTAATGACCCATTAACCTAGATCCCCTTAAGAGCCAAACAGCAATATTTATATTAAGTCGACCAAAATATCCAACCGCGTTAATTTTCTCCAATATACGGAGTAATTCTAAGGTAGTCTCTCCCGCAAAAAAATAAAATACTAAAATACTTATATGACCTTAATCGACGACTCATCTAGAAACTACATATCTCAACCACATCTGACGAAAAGTAATCGATAAACTAATTCGTCTCCACCCCTTAACGAACAGAGCATTTCCACTTAAACTACCAAACCCGTCATCAGCCCAATTCATACTTACGATTTCCCAATTTGCTCCGCATCACCTCCATCCCACCTCCGCAACCTTCAGATATGCCGATATAAATTCCTCTGGAGAACAACCAATGCACCCTTGTCTGTACGTAACTGAGAAATTCATTGACTCTGGTATCCTTATAAATCGTCCTAGTAAAGTCTGTCTTCTACAGACACTATCTACCATAAGCGCACCATACGTTCCACTAGGACGACCCTCGTCTCGTAAGTCCTCCCGACAACCCACAAAACCTTCCCTTGCGATCACGTGGTCTAACAACAGCTCCCTACACAAACCTTCACCAACACCACGACTCTATTTTATAAGGTGTTCACCACCACCAAAGCAACCAATAAACAAATGTTTCTCACTACTAACTATCTCATTTTCGCAGGATCCCAATTGGATCACATACATAATTATTGTAACATTCTTTGCAACTAACCAACGACAACCACTCACCTAAAGGCAAAAACTGATCTGTTAAATCAATAAAAAGTAAAAAAAATGTCATTTGAAAGACTGTGGGGACACGTTTCGAGGGCATCTCTTGTTCTGTTACAGCAGCATCTGTTCCGCGCTAGAAGTTGCATACATTTTACAAGTTAAACCTTGAAGAACGTGAACACAAGTTTGTTTATTTGTGTAGGGTTTGTCATTCTGACATTACACTTAATAGTTAAAATTGCCGTTTAGACCCGTTTCCTTTACTGTAAATGAAAATAAACTGCCTCTTCCCTAATTCGTGTACACAAGTGGGAAACGCTGTCGCTGCTGCCTGCTGCCATAAGGACATCCATTCTCCGCACTGCGCCACGCGAAGAGGAGCCGCTTCGCCCCGACGCGCGGCGCGCATTGTTCTCGGAGTCGACGGGCAGCGCCGCCGGTCGTGGAACGAATCCTTTTCCGCGGAGGGCGCGGGCGCTGCGCCACCGGCAGGCCGGGACGTGGCATTGTCTCCGGCGGGGCGGGGTGGGGGGCGACATGGTCATGCGGGCCACGTCATTGTTTCTGCCTTTCCTTGACCCCTCCCCCGCGGCCGATCCCGGACGTGGCCGGACCGAGGCGCGGCCGCCCACCGCGTTGGCTCTTCTGACGCGCTTCGCGGCATCAGCGAAATGGTGGCTTCTTCGGTCTCTGTGGGCGGTCACGTCACGAGATCCCGGATCGCAAGATTGAGAAAACATTGAAAAAGCTTGGTTCTTATGACTATTAGGTTTGTTTTCCTGTTTTCATGAGAAACTCTTAACAGCGTTCACTTTCGCGACGCACTCTTCATATTGGATGTCAATTAACAGGAAGGGTAGAATATCGTAAGAAAGATGAAAAGAAAAATAATCGTTCCGCTATGTTTTGAAAGGTAATGCTGAAGAAAATTAGTACTACGAAGGCGGGATTGTTCCAAAAGTCTCCATGTACAAATTGGGCTTTGGAAACCACGTAAACCTCTGATAAAAGGAGATAGTACAATAGATCATTATTAAGTTCTTATGATTGTCGTTACAAAGTTCAAGAAGCTTTTCTTTGTAAAGGAAAACTACCAAACCTCAATTATTATACAGATAGTAAATTTAAATCTAGTGTCTACATATCAAAGTTTTATTGCCTTTAAAAGACAAATTATTGACCTTAAATTATTAAAGTAAGTAACATAATATTGGTATTGTGGTGAGTCTTGTCATACTCATGTCATACACTCTTGTCATTCATGATGACTCATACATTAGACGACTTTTTTCTTACATTGTAGATTTGTGGCGACGGTACTGTACAAAGTTCTATGTAGTGAAGTGTTTTGTTTTTTCCAGCTTATTCTTTTGTGAACTCGCAAGACTATTATTTCTCTAGTTCAAATTAATATAATCGGGAAATATTTAGAAGTGGCGATAGGAATGAAGGTAAAAATAGATGAAATGCGTCAAGTTCATCTGTGGTCTACGCATATTTATTACATTCATTCATACATATAGGAGTGGTATAAAATATAAAGTACACAGAGAAGAGAAGAGGCGGGTCCAGGCGTCGAGGTCCGGGAGCGGGCGGGGCCGGGCCCCCGCGCCGGGGCCGCCCCGAGGGGGACGAGGCGCCGGGCGCCGGGGGCATTTGTACAGGGGCGGCGCGGTGCGGCGCGGCGGCGGCTGCGTGGGGCCCCGGCGGGGGCGCGCCCGGCGGCGAGCGGCGGGGAGCGGCGGCGGAGCGGCGCGGGGCGGGGCGGCGGCGGCGGGGGCGGCTTACTTCTGGCCGAAGCCAGGTCGCTGGGGCGAAGCGGCGCCCGGCGGCCGCCTGCAACAGAAGAAGCGGCGTCAACACCATGAACAGCGATGCTACGTCAGCCAACACTCTCTCGCATTACATGCCAGTTTTGCGTTTTCGAAAGCCAGAGGGTTCAGCGAAATCTAACATTTTTAAAGTTCTTCTTGCATCTCTGGGACATTTTAAAAATGTCTTGATTCTTCTCATATCATTTAGCACAATAGAAGGTTATCCGTTTGGGAATTCAAGGAGCCGCGCGTCAAGCCAGATCGATTTGGGAATTTATTTTGATGATATATTGCTCACAGAATTTAGCTGTTCAATAGAACGTACAGACTGACGTTTTTCACATATTTCGTTCAAGGATATGGAACGTGAATTGGGGGCTACACAAATGTACAAGAGCATTATTCGCTTATGTAGGCAGTAATATGGATTGTGTTGGAGTTAAAGTCCAGAATGTGCGCAGTAGCTCGTCCGGGCGGCGGGGGGAGGGCGGGAAGGGGGTGGGCTTACTTCGAAGTTGCCTCGGCGCTGCGGGCTTTGCGCGCGAGAAGTCGAGCGCGCGCGCGATGGCCTCAGGGCACGGGGGGCGGCGTGGGCAGGTGCGCGCCCTGCGGCTGGAAGCCGCCGGCGGCGTCGGCCACGTAGGTGATGGTGTAGGTGACGCCGTCGTCGCCTACGTAGGAGAAGCCGCCGCGCGCGTTGATGGCCTCCAGCTCCGGGTTGCCGGCGTTCTCCAGCACGCCCTCCTCGTTCGCCTGGATGCCGTTGCCCGTCTCGTAGCTGCAACAACGACACTCACTCTCACTGCCTGGACTAGGGGTTGAGCTTACAAACAGTGGAACGGGCTGGGAAAACAAGAGCTGCAGTGATTGTCGCTGACGTACAGACGTCTCCAGTACATTACACGCGCTTTGAACAACCACATCACAGTGCTATTAGATGCAGAAGGGACCATCAATGCAGAAAAGCGCACGGCGACGGGCGCGGTGCAAGAGGACGCGGTTGGGCGCGACCTTTCGCCCACGACACTGCGGCGGGCGGAGGCGCGGGCGGCGGCGCGGGCGGGGCGGGGCGCCGCACGGTGCGTGATAGGGCACGGGAGACGCCCCCGCCCTGCGCCCTCTGCCGCAGCGCTCCGCCACACAAGAAACTGACCCCTGCTCAGGATGGGTTCTCTCAGTCGAAGTTGAAAAAAGGGAAAAAAATACACAGTTGGAATGTTCTCGCTTGATTTCCGCATCGCTTGAGCATAAGAAGAGAAAGGAATTTTGAAAATGGAATATGTCATTGAATGTGATGGCCAAGTTTTATTTCTTCCAAGGAAATCGTGGATTATTATTACTCTTATAAGTAAAATAAAATGGGCCATTTCTTGAATAACGCATTGTAGAATTTAAAACAAATATTATTTGTGTAACTACTATAAAAAGTAATAACTTAACGTACTATTGAAATGATGACGGTCCGGCCAACAGGAACGAGTCCAGTACTTTAAAAAGTACACTAAAAACACTTTCGTTAAAGTTGCGTGTTTTTTCACGAATTCATGGTCACTTACAAGAATGCACCCTTCAGATTATTTTAAATATGCAAGGCAGCAACCGTATTAATTTGTGTCGCCCCAGTGACTTGTCTATTTTAAAAGTACTCAGTAGTTTCCTATTGCGCTGGCGACTGTGCATTGGCGGGTGCCCACCTGTAGCTGTAGCCGTCGGGGCGCACGTCGCTGGCCTGGCGCACGATGGGCACGTCGTTGAGGTTGCCTCCCGTGACGGGCCGCACGCCGGGCCGCCCGCCGAACTGCGGCTTGGCCAGCGCCACGGCCAGCAGCGCGCTCAGGACCACCTGCAACACCCCGCCGCCCTGCACTAGCTGCTCCTTGAGCTAACAGGCGCGCTCGACTCACACATAGCTTTTCGGTATTGAAACCCAACGATACTCTACAGCCTAAGACGTATTTTAATGCATTTCACATTATATATGGTGACATCACATTATTCATAAGCAATGGAAGAGATTACTCTTCTAGAAATCTTGTTCAATACGTAAAAAATAGTCCATATTATTGATAAATAGTCCCTCGGGTGGCTCATGAACAGTGTGATCGCTTGCCGTGGTGCTAACGCGGGTTCGATTCCTGGTCCCCCAAAATAGAACTGTAGCTTTCTAATACACTCCTCTCAGTTTATATAGCTATCTGACAAAATAAAAAGCTCAGTCAGGCCAATAATGCTAGATACGCAGACGAGAATGAGTCGTGTTCGCCACATTTCTCCCTTACTCCCCAGGCGTTGAGAATAATAACAGGTCTCTGGCCTGGGAACATCACTAGCTGGTTTAAGTCGCTTACAGCGCTACAATGACCAATACACTTACAACAACGATACCTTTTATTAACTTGAAAATGGAAATAAATCTTGGTTTGAAATATACTCGTATATGTTCTTCTAAAAGAAAAAAAGTATGTGCCTCACATTCGGTATTTTCACTATTCGGTAGACAATTTTTACTATAAAAATATGCTACTCCAACTTATGTTTGAATGAGTTTCCGACGTGTACCCATCAGTGTATACCGTGTTTCATATCTCTTTTCGTTATTTACACAGTTCTGCTTGTAGTACTGTAAGCATTTGCCGTCGGCAGCAGGCTAATTGCACTCAATCGCATGTTCTTTACCACTGAGCGGAATGCGGTGCCATTTAGGAACGTGACTCAACAGCTAGAATATCACATCACACATGGGAAGTTCGATTGCTTTCAATCATTTCAGTAATTTTAGAACTATGCTTCTTACTATTTCATAATAATTATGTTAATTATTCTAACTAATACACAAATTTCGACATCTGAGATGCTTCTAATGTATTCAACTATATACTTTTGCTTTTTGTTTGTACATTTTTTTACTATATCGAAATCGCAATTATTTCAGAAAAAATAAACGTATCTTCTATTTCCAAAATATCGGTGTCTTTTTAATGTTAGAAATAAGAGAAAAAACATTATGTGGCTAATAAATTTGTCACGTGCCTCTTACTTATCCAAACATTCGTTACTAAACTAATTACTTAACTTTCTGGTAAATGGAAATGATCATTAGATTTATCCACTTATGTGACTACTCCATAAATTCTGTCTATTACAATACAATACTCTTAAACTTTGTAATCGAAGAGAAATGTTCGCTTTCTGATGCAACTTTGAAGACCATGAATACTTTTTAATTTGTGTTTCGATTAAACAAAGATATGTTTCTTGTTTACTTTTTACAATAAGCACGCTATCTTTAGATTAAATCAAAGGTGAATGTCGTTTGATGAGAACGAACGTAAAACCTAGAAGTGAAGAAGTAAGGAAGCTTTAATTTGAACGTTAGTATTTCTATAAGAACTGACCGAACATACTTTCTGGTCGCTTCATCCAGCGTTTAAGTCTCTTGAACTAATGACAACCAGGATACTCCGCGGTGCGAGGTGAGCTAGTCCAGCTGGTTGCCATTAATAACCGTCGGCGGCTGACTTTCATGCAAATTACGTTTTATTTCAATAATTCCATCTGCAGCGTCCGTCATTTGCATACGCGGTATAAAACTCGAAGAAGCGTCTCGCTCGAAGAAACTCGTTCCGTGGAACTACTAGGCCAGCGCCGACCAAGCCCAGGTGAGGAAACCCATAGAGGCGCGCCCCCCCCCCCAAAATGCCCCTCGGAGCCGGTTGCGTCGCCCAGGGGCACCCCCTCCCCCTCCCCCCCCTCTCGGGGCCAACCCGTCCGTGGCCGCCCGGCCCATTTGCACCTTCCAGCTCTTCCATCGCGACATTTCGTGGAGAGTTTCGAAAAGTATGAGTTACACAAGGTTCTCAATTCATTTACTACATTGATTGATACAAGGCTATTTGATCCCCAGAGGTGGCTCGGATTTTCTCTTCAAGTGAGTCACAAGTCAAGATAGTTTGTATTGTAACAATTGCAATATTTCTACTTCCTGTTGATTTACCTTTAAATATCCCTACAGTACTATCTCGATTTCTACCCACTATCACTTAATAGTTTTATTTACATTATCAAGTGTTGCTATTGTATTCCATACAACACCCAACAATTAAATAAAAATAACGGAAATAAGAAACTATTACTATTATGAACTAATACCTCGCTCTACACAAAATGATAATACTATTTATGAAAATCAAATTGAAGATTTAAGAATGAGGTTCCTCATGATAGCAACACTTTATGATTTTTCTCTGCAAAAACTTGGTTGTATACGTTTTCTGCGCGAAGACGTCGTGCTGGTCCTTTGAGACCGAGGCACTTGGCGAGAAGGAAGCCAGTGCGTTGCGGTAAATTACATGCGGTGGCTCGTCCTCAGCGAAAGAGAAATGAATGAGCGGAAGAGTCCGCTCTTGGGTGTAAAATGAAACTGAAGACAGGCAATCTTGAGAGAGAATTATCCGAGTTTCAGCATATATGCTGATTTGCCATAACACGCGTTTCAGTTATGTTATTTATCTTATTTAACTAAACACTACATAATTGAATGGTTGTTATTGAAAAATGCAGATATCGTCTGATAATGTTTTAGTAATGATTACATTTCTGATTAGTGCGGGAATTTAAGAATATTAAAAGATAAAATTAAGATTTGCAGTTATATTTATTTGGTTATGTTTAGAATCTGAACTACTGATATATTGGACATATTCAATTATTAAAGACAATTATTGTCTCTAAACAATTCTAGAAGGCAAATTACGTCAGTGAATGACAAAAGGCAAAAAACCCAAACTTTGAACGTCGCTTCGAAGTTTTCGACGGCAGGTGCAACAATGCTGCTGCATCAACGCGAGCACTCACCAATGTGTTCATGGTTGCGGCGGGGTGTGTGGGGCGCGAGTGTGCACTGAGAAGAGGCTGAAGCCGACTGCGGTGCCATGAGCCGCCGTCCGCTCCTTTTTATACCGTGGCTCATCCCTAAAGCGCACAATATGGCGATATGACCTCCTTTGCACTTCTTTTTCTTCCCGTTCCACCTCCTCCTCTCGCCGCTGCTGCTCCTCTCTCCCCCACCTCTTTGTGATCTTCTTCCATAACATCACCGTTACATGTGGTGTAAAAAGGAGGGAGCAGAATTTCAAAGATCACTTGTCAGGGGGCGGCGGCGGTGGGGTCGGGGTGGGGGAGCGCGTGCCGCGGCGTCTGTGCTCTGCCACTCTGCCAAGGTCCTCGCGGCCGCGCGGGCGGGCGCCACTCCCTGAGCCTGCCCCCTCCCCTCCCCTCCCCACCGAGGAGGCGGGCGCCTCCGCGGCTTCTTAGGACTGCCGTAATTGATGGGCGCGTTAACGACTCGGAGCCCCGAGCCGCGACCGCCCGCCCTGCTGAGCCATGGGACAGACGCAACGCAACCCTCAACGCAAGGCTAGCGATGCTCTGCACTGCGCCTGCGCCTCCGCCAATGATCCGCTTTACACGCGACCGCCATTACGGTTCTCTCGCTGCTCGCGCATTTATACAGTTGCTATTCCTGCGATTTTCGTTATACGCGCCTTAAGATGGAGCACAGTGTAAGTGCTGACAGAAGACAAAACTCTACTCTTTATGCTGTAACCATTTATGAAATATTTGGACTAATTGTGAATAATAGGTTTAAAGACAACATATTTTATCTAAAAGAGTTCTATTATACAAACAGAAAAACGCGTTTGGAAGTGTGTCACAAGCCCAGGAAACATTTTCTGAAAGTTGGATTAATACTTAATTAATATTTGGAACTATTTTTAGATGCAAAGTAATTGGTGCATTACATGCTTAAACATTTACAAAACATTTACACCTTATAACTGTTTCAGTTAATGAGCTATCAGTGCCTTGAGGAATTGGAGACAGGGACGAAGAATTCTATTCGTGAGGCGTCACCGAACGAGGAATTCTGTACGTGAGACGACGCCCAGACGTACGAGCGGAGGGGAATCCTAAGAATTTAGTTGTACCACGTAGCATTTGATGAGATGTTGCTTAATACCTTACGTTTTCATGAGCAATGAAATTCCACGTCAAGACTGCTACAGTGAAGAAAGTGACTTCAGATTGATGGAAGAGACATTCTTTTCATTTTGACCTCGAAATCCCGTTCAGCTCTATTGCATCGAAATTCCATTTCCTCGTGTCACTTTTCCCGACAAGGACACCTTCTGAAACGCCGTAACTGCAAAACCAGTCTGTATTTGAAAAGTGTGTAGGTCGCTCACATTGAAGAGGTTATTTGGAAACCAGTCGCAGCAAATACCGAGCGGTGGAGAAAGTGTCGGGCGCTCGACGGGCTCCCATACGTTTGCCTTTTCATTCGCGTCGTCTGCGCCGGAATGCGTTCTTTATGGGGTTTCGCCTTCTCTTTCTAATGATCGAGCCCTCCTTGCACTGCGCCAAGCGGTGAGCAGCGCTCTCCAATCACCGCTTCCTTCATTCCCAGCTCTTCCCAGCCTGTTAACTATTATCCCCCGCAGCCTCGAAACTCAGCCGACAGAGAACGCCTTTCCCCCGCCTACACCGCCTTCGCCGCAGAATCCGTCAGCTGCCCTTCGGGTGACGTACTCGGGCCCTCGCGCCTCCCGTCATCTGCATTGTTCCTCGTTGGCCCCCATCGCCGTCTGCGCCGGCGGCGGCTGCGCGAGATCGAACGAAAGGTCGGCGAATCGCCGCTTCGGGCGGGACCGAGAACAAGTTCTGTTGTCTAGACAAGCGGCGCAGATTGCGAGGCAGTGAAGCTGGAGTATCGGCTCTGCCGCCGCCCCGGGGAGGATCCGCCAGCGCGGGCGGCGCTACCGAAGGTGATTCCGCGCATAATGCAAGCAGTTCCCCTCGAAATATTCACAGCCTCCAAACAATCGCAAAGTTCAAGGGCCTGTTAAAGTTAATGGCGGAGATTTAGCGACAAGATACCCTCATCTTCCAACTTAAAGGAGCGATTGAGAGAACATTTTGAAGACGGAAATTCTCGTGAGAAAGAGGGGGGGGAGGAAAGCGTTTACATCAAGGACCGCAAAGATTCACATAAAATATTTATACATCGTACAAAATATTATATATTTCTGTTAAGTGTTAACTTTTGTATAAATTAAATATACCATTGCACAGATTAAATAAAGTTGATGTATTATTAAAATAATATATTATATAATATTATATTAAATAAGTAAATTACGTATAACATAAAATATTACATGCTATACATTATATATATATATATATATATATATATATATATATATATATACACCACTATTATCTTTAAATTTTTTTCAATGAAATAACTGCTCTAAGATTAAAAAATTGTTTGTCCTTTTGATTCACTATAACCATTATGCAGAAGCACGAATCGTAGTTTCTCTTAGTACTCTGTCATAAACTTACTACGTTTCATTCCAAGGTTCGCTAATGGTATTTTCTGCAGCAGTTATAAACGTACGTCAGTATACTTGAAAATAGTAAGTAGATGTAGATAATTCAAAAAAAATATCAATAATGTTGAAATAATATTTGATATTAAAAAATGTAATATCATTACAAATCTTTTTATTATACTTTTTCTCTATGAAGATAATTTTTAGGGTATCTCCGAATTAGAAAGAATGTAACTTCGAAGTAATAAAAATCGTATTTCTTTAGCTTCATATAATTGTCAATATACAAATAAACGTTTTTCCAGGCACGATCAATCATTGTACTTATGACTCCTTGTGGTTACGTTACCAGGAAGGAGCGTCTCCAGCGACAATGGGCTGCGCCTTCCCGTCACCGCACGCGCCCCCTACACGCCGTCGCCCGTCAAATGGTAATCCAGCGCTCGAATTGTACTTTCAAATTTCGCATACCACTCCCGCTTTCGCTCTTCCCTTGACGGACAATGCACTTACGTTTTCATTCGTGCCTGCATGCATATCTTGCGTACGATGTAATCATTCGAATCGAGCCAAATTCTACTGTTCAGAAGGAAGTGAGTTCATAGTTTTGGATTTCATCCCAGAACGTTGCGGTACAGATAGTGGGAAAAATCAAATTGGAGAATTAGTATCTTGGCCAAGAAGTGGGCCATGTCCCTAGGAATCGCCGAGCAGGCAGGTCCCAGCCGGCCTCGCCCGAGTGGCGAGCGCTGCTGCAGCCGCTTCGCACAAAGAAAGGAAGCCCCCGCGCCACAATGGCCTCCGGAAGGGGGAAGGGGGGGGCTCTTCCGAGCGCAGCCCCTTCCAGATGCGTTGCCACACGCCGCTGCGCTGACAAGCGGCTTTTGTATCAGCGCTCGATTTGTAGGTCGTTGGCCCAAATGAAGAAATGCACGTAAAATGTGGCCTCAACTGTTGAAAAGTATTTTTTAAATGTATTTAGTAGGAACCAAAGTAACCAATCTTATACTTATATCACTATATAATACACATTTTTTGAATTATATAAAAAAGTCATTCTAATTGTTTAGATGGCAACCTACTATATTACGCCGCTCCCAAGAAAGGAATACTGTAAACTAAGAAATACTGGAATCTATTCATAACGAAGTAAAAAACATTCCTTACTTATGTCTAGTTCCAAAAGTTCACAACGCGCCAACTTACAATACTGGATTTGTGATTTAAAAAAATCATATTTTTATGTAAATGAATAAGAAAAACATTCTTGAGGGAGAGTAATAACACAAGTTACAAAATGTTTGTTATTATGTAACCATTAAAATTCAAATACTTACTTTGAGAAAAATGTGGTAGATGGACTTTTCCCTTCAAAAACAATACTTTGAGTCTGCGTACAAAAATACGCATAAATTAGATATTTTTTATTCATAGGTAGTGGAATCTGTGCGAATCGGACGAAAATGCTATGAGAGTGGCCATTGCCACGGACATTTAATCAACAGCATCAACAGCAAAGAAGAGTATTGTGTGTATGTTAATATAGCAGAGTAAAATTTCGTGAACCATTGGCTGACGTGAAGAGTTATTTTTTTGAACAAAAGAAAATAACGCCTTTGTGATTTCCACATACTTTCAATATTTGATACAGAGTTTTGAAACTATATAATCTTTTGTTTATTATGACTAGTTATTTCTTTCCTGTTTTTGATCGTGGAAGGACTGAGTTTTGGAAACCAATAATTATTTAAAGCAAGTGGTATTTGCAATTCGTCGATCTGCTGGAAACAGAGAAGACCAACCTGAAAAAGCAAACCTCAGAAAGGAGAGGAGACAGCCGAACTGTGGGAAGTGAATGAGGACTTGAAGACCTGAATGTGCTTCTTTAGGTTTGCAAGAGAACAATGAAAAAGTTCCTCCGCTGGATGGTTAACGCAATGAACATCGAGCTATGCGACGTGAATGATGAGTGTGGCCAAGCCCCTGAAATTTATGAGGCACCATTGTGACACAATAATAACTTTTTATACGAAGATGGTTGGCTGCAAAGCTAAGTAATTTTGCGCAGTTGTAATTTCAGTACTTGCTATGACAATGAGTGATAGCCTTGATTCGTCTTATTTGATCAAAGTGTGAAATTAGAGACTGGGACCATGAGTATATCAGATATCTTGCGGCTGAAATTCGCTCGTCTATCATTAATATGCGAGAACGTAAGCACTCACTTCAAGCAGTTGCATAAACAATTAGTTAAATGAGATTTTTAGATTGCCTGATAATAAAATTCATAACAAATTCAACATCTGTAAATATATTCTGCAAATTGCTATAAATTCATAAAAGAATAATACGAGTACTGAAATAAGTAGTTCTGTAAGAATATTGAGCATGTAATACTAAATAATACATCGCTTAAATTGATCTTACTTTTGACTTATGAATGTCCAGCTCTTGCGTTGTGAACGGATTTTCTCTACAATAACAATGTAATGGGTAGTCGTCTTGAATTGACTTATATTGACTGAAATCGTGAAGCAATGTACAGTCTGGTAATCCTAATACTAAATAAGAGAAGGATATTATGCGGAATGTTACAGAACAGTACGCTTGTAAAAGTCAAAATCTAATTTTCAGGAAATATGTACGTTGATCTCTT